CTTCCTTCCTTCCTTCCTTCCTTCCTTCCTTCCTTCCTATCAAACGTTCCTCCCTCACTAATTATCTTTCCTTCCTCCCTCCCTTCCTCCCTCCCTATCCTTCATTCCTTTCTCTCTCCTTAGTTCCTTCTTTCCTTCCTCCCTTGCTCCCTCCCTCCTTCCTTCCTTCCTTTCAAACTTTGTCCCTCCCTCTCTAATTATCTTTCCTCCCTCCCTATCTCCCTTTCTCCCTCCCTCCCTATCCTTCATTCCTTTCTCTCCCCTTAGTTCCTTCCTTCCTATCAAACTTCGTCCCTCCCTCACTAATTATCTTTCCTCCCTCCTCCCTATCTTTCATTCCTTTCTCTCTCCTTTCTTCCTTCCTTTCTTCCCTTCCTTTCTCCTATCATTTTTTCCTCTCATCTTTCTCTTCTTTCCTTCCTCCCATCCATCCATCCATCCTTCCTTCCTTTCTCCCTATCTATAATTTCTTTTCCCCATCTTCCCCCTTCCTTCCTTCCTTCCTTCCTATCTATAATTTCTTTTCCCCATCTTCCTCCCTCCCTCCCTCCATTTCATCTTTCATATCGTTCTCTCATCTTCCTTCCTTCCTTCCTCCCTTCTTTCCTCTCTCCAAAATTCACAGCTTTTAAGCCCTGATTAGACCTGGATCTAAGACATTTCCACACATTCATTAATCCCCTAAAAACTTTTTCTTCCACCAGCCTCTCTCTACCTCAGAAGAGGACTCGGTTGGATGGGATACCAGCTCACCAACCATATCAGAAAGCATCCTTACTCCTCTCTGATCGTCCCTTCCAACATATTTGGTAACCACAAGTAAACTACTACACAGCCCTCAGTGTACCATTTAATGAAGGTCTGCCTTCCTAGGGAGTCAACCAAATCTCTTTTTTTCAATCTTTCCATGTAAATTAGGGATTTATGACCATCCTTGCAGCTCAAACGTAAGCCTCACTTTGGAACCTCATACTTGAGCAAGGGGCTGGACTAGAAGACCTCCAAAGTTCCTTTCAACCCTATTATTCTATGTTCTATGTTCTATGTATCTCTTTCTTCCTACTCCAGTGTTAAGGAGGGGGAAGGATTGCTCTCAACTCACC